AGTCAGCTCCTCATCCATCCCCAGGGGGAGCTCCATGCACTCCAGCCGGTCATTGACATAGAGGGCGACACCCCCTCCTCTTCTCCCCTGCCTGTCCTTCCTAAGGAGCCTGTATCCCTCCATCCCAACGCTCCAATCATAGCAGCCACCCCATCACGTCTCCGTGACGCCAGTAAGATCGTAGCCCTGCAGGCGCGCACACGTCTCTAACTCCTCTTGTTTATTCCCCATGCTACATGCGTTTACAGAGAGGCATTTAAGTTGGGCCCCCGATGAAGCTGTATCTTATGTATCTCTAATTTGGGGATAAATGTTGCCAATAATGTGTTAGCAAAACTTCTTGCTGCTTATTGACTCTTCTCAAGTATGCATCTAGAAGAAAGAGCACGTAATCCTAAGAGCAGTAATGTTGTAGAGCTCTAGTGTGATGTAGCTGTGTATTGACTCTATGTGTTCAGTTGTTTCTCTGCTTGTGATGAGCATTGACCAGCTGACTGATACAGCTGATCATTATATCAGTAACTATATCAACAACAATGGGTGTTCTTCTGCCAGTTTTTTGAAAGTGTTGCTTATTGTAAATCTACGTTTGCTTCTCTTTCAGACAAGGAGCTGAAATGGATAAGGTGATGCAGGAGCTAGGGAAATCGCTAACAGACCAAGATGTAAATTCATTAGCGGCTCAGCATTTTGAATCTCAGCAGGTAAATTAAGTTCAGTGAACTAGAATACATCATTTAAGACAAATAATTGTCTTAAAAAGAAAACCCAAAACACTCAAATTATCACTGTCATATTGTTAGGATTTAGAGAACAAATGGACCAATGAATTAAAACAGTCTACTGCTATCCAGAAGCAGGAATATCAGGAGTGGGTGATAAAGCTTCATCAGGACCTAAAGAATCCCAACAACAGCTCAATCAGGTACTTAATTCCTCTCTGATGCTTACTTCCATCTGTAATAGTTCAAAGGACTTGCTTTTATATAATCTTTGTTTCAGATTAGCCATTTAAATAGGATAATCAAAGCAAATCAAAGGCAAATAAACCATCATAATTAAATATTTATATTTTTAGGAATTTCTTCATTGTGTAATGTTGTAACAAAGTGTTGTAATGCAATAACTACAACTTGAACTGAATTTCCTCCTGTTTTGCCTTTATTTACAATGTCTATCTTTAGCCCTATTTCACAAGGCTTTCTGTTACCGCTTAAGGATGTTCTGCAGAATAATTGTAGCTTAATAAATGGTAACAGTATGACACATTTTGAATTAATAAGCCTCTTTTTTTCTTTTTTCCTCTTTTTTTTTGTTTTTGTTTTATGTATATATCACTGGACAGCTAAAAAATGGAATTTTTTAGTGTGAACACTTGTGAGAGTTGAATGATAAGCTTTCTGGTTGAGGAAATAGCAGGGAAATCTGAATTTGTAACTTGAGGAGATCCTTATTCTTTATTATTAGTAACCACCACCTTTGCTACTAATAGGAAAAGAGAAGGAGTAAAACCTGATGCTTTCTCATGCCTCACATTAGTAGAAAAGCCTGTCTGAGTAGATTTAGGTGGATGCAGTAAGGAATTTATGGGAAACACAATGCCTTTGAACAAAGTGGATGCCAGTGGTAAGAGGAGGCAGGCATGGATCATAACGCGTGAAATACTTCATCACTTTCTCTTAAGTGGATCACTTTCTCTTTTGGGATAAGGAAGCCGAGCGTATGGAACATGAGGGAAGAGAGAGGGGAGTTGAAATATATTGGAAAATGATGCTGTATGTTTAGATTCCTCAGGTTTTTGTGAATTTATGTTTTGGAAGTCTTTTGCAGTTCTTGGGTTAGTCCCAGAATGTACTAGCGTAGCTCACAAGCAAGCTGGCCTCTTTCTAACCTAGTGACCAGCTAAAACATCACTACAGTAGTGACAATCTGCTCAAGCTCTAAGCCCAATCCTAAAATATTTTTCCACAGAATTTTCATGTTAGCTTTGTTGATTATTTCCATGAGGTTTTAAAGATTACAAAGGCTATTCATACTTATCACTGTGAACCTCTTCCAATGTTCTGGCCTTCTACTACTGTAAAGTGAGACCAAGGTGAAGTTGCTTAGAGCTGAACGCTAGAAGTGGACTGCTAGAGGTCCAGAGGCAAGGACCTCTGAGACAGAGTGAGTATGTTTTGGCTTCGTAATCTTGGATGCTTATAACAGATGTGAAGTGATAGTATTTGAATCATTGCACTCACATACACTAGCAGAAAATGTGATCTCTCTGCTTGAGTACTGAAAACTATAGGTCCCTAATGCATTTGAAAATAATGCACAGGAAGTCTATAGTGGGGCAACTAGAAGCTTAGAGAGAGAGAAAGAGAGAGAAAATGCATGTGTGTTACACACATATATAGACATAAAATATATATATATACACACACGCACATACAGATCTTTATGCATCTAGTTGCTTATATGTGTGTGTGTATATATTTATTAACAGTATATCTCAGTTCTACCTCATCACTAGGCATTTGCAGTTAGTGGAATTGCTTGCAAGTTTATAAAACACTTTTGAAACACCTTTGAAGATTAGGCATTTTGAAAATAAAGAGAAACTTTTCATTAATGCAGAACCAAATTGGAGAGATGTTCATGTTCTTTCACGTAGCAGAAACAGTATTTATTATATCACTTACTTCCAGACAGTTGAATTTAGGAAAAAAAATTGGAACTGATATCTGAAATATTTCCTGCTAGTTTGAACACTGTGGAGTATTTGATTTGTTTTTTTTTAATCTCCTATTTTGTGCAGGGAAAAAAGAAATGTTTTCTCTAGTAACTTCATAAATAAGGTTTTGGCTATTATAAAGAGGCTGAGAAGAATTCTTTTTTTTTTTTTTTCCTTTTATTCCTATGTTCTTATTATGTTATAACTAGGTATTGTGATTTATTTTTATTTCTCAAGTTCAGAATGCTTTACAAATGAGCTAGGTAATGTAAGTCTAACAGTGGAGTCTACTCTTCCGCTGGTATGCACCTGGAGTATTGCATGCCAGAAAAATAAAACCTCGGATGAGTGGAGCTCATTCAAATAGGTTTAGTTTCTTGGTTTCCACAGACTAGCTGAGAAAACTTTGAATAGCTTTCACAAAATATTGTTGGTCTTGAACAAAAATTAGGATAAACTTTTCAGTACGTTTCTCATTATTTTAGTGATGAAATTAAGGTTCAGCCCAGTCAACTGAGAGAATCTGTAGAAGGAAATGGAAGAATTTATGAAGAGCAAAGGCTGTTAGAAGAGAGTTTTACTATTCACTTGGGTAAGAAAAGTAAACTGACACCAAAACCAAACATAATAACAGATGCTAATAAATAATGTATCTAAGCCATGTATTATTTACAGTGTTTAACTGTCAATGTGTATAATATATACAGTTTGTAATTGTTTTGTATTTGTTCTTCACAGATGTAAGAGAAGTAGAGTACGGTGTAAACTGTATCAAACAGTATCTAGCTACCTGAAATATACTTAATGGAAAACATTCTAAAACAAGTTTTTATCTGCTCTAACAAGGTGACTAGTGTAGAAAAGCACACTAACATCAAAACACATAGCAGTTAAAAATTATATTTTAACTTTTCTTATGTTTGGTAACAAAATGTGGGTATTAAATTTAATTCCCACAATAAATTAATGGAAAAATAGGTGCTTAAAATTTGTATTTTTTGTTTATGCAATAGAGACTTTTTAGACTGTCTGTTTTGACTACATTAGTATTTTATCCATAGCCTTATAATAGGGAACATTTCAGGTATAGATAAGCCTTGCTTTGTGACAGTATATGAAAATATTGCATTTTTACTCTTATTTTGTAAATTGCTGATATGTATGTAAAACTGAATATACGGTTAAGAACTTTCTTTGAGTATATTGATTGTATTTCCCTTATAGATGTTCTTCACAAAACTTAGGGGAGCACTTTGATCCCTTGCATTTTAATAACAATCCTGAGTTTCCTTTTTTACTGTATGTGTTAGAATAATTTATATTCCGTACAGGAGCTCAGTTGAAGACCATGCATAACTTGAGATTACTGAGAGCTGATATGCTGGATTTCTGTAAACATAAGCGTAATCATCGAAGTGGCGTAAAACTTCACAGACTTCAAACTGCAATGTCTCTCTATTCGACTTCTCTTTGTGGCCTGGTTTTATTGGTGGATAACCGTATCAGTTCATATAGCGGCATCAAAAGAGGTGAGTCCTCTAATAGGGTGTATTGTGTCAGTGAAAACGAGTGTCACTTAAAAACTTGCTGTCTTCTCTCACAAAAAATATTCCTTGTAAAATTAAAATTTACTGGAGTCCCTAATGTTTTGGACATGGTGTTGCAAAAGGGTAACAAATGCAAAAAGATATGGATGAGGATGGGGGACAGAGTTGTGCTCTAATATGCTGTTATCTCTCTCATCTCTTTCCTAGGTTTTGTGTTTAAGTAAGGAACGTGTAAGAGTGAACACTTCAATGTTAATTTCCCTGCCTTAGACTGACTTATTATCAGTAGGGGCTTCTAACTCTCCAATGTCAGCTTAGCATACTGAAACCTATATGCAAATGAAATATTCTAAGATTTTAAATTGATAAGTAAATGTATAAAAATACCATGTATGTTAGATATCTGCAGCACTATGAATTCAATTAAAAATGAACAATAGGAATATTACTTGCCTACTCCTGGAAAGCTTGATCAGTAGCCATTTTAAATGCATGTCTTTTGAGTAACTGGACACTACAGTGAAGGTATTTTGTGAAAAGTGTTTGTTCTGGTTCCAATTTTGGTCAGCGAGGCTTTCTCTGAACCACATTATTGACTTTCCCACCTTCCTCTTGAAGTTTAATACCAAAATATTTACACTTGAAACGTCTTTTTGACTGGAGCCACTATTACTTGTCATTATTCTAGCGTGCTGTAAAAAAAACAGACTTTGGTGGTTGATATTCTCTGAAAACAGTGTGGAATCAGCCTTGTAGCAAGAAGGAAAGAGAAGTGTACCAGTAAAAACTGCAGTTGCACTTGTGTTGTTTATGGCTTCTAAGTTGCTTAATTCTGACAATATTATTTCATACTGGTACTCATTTTCAGTTACTTTTTTTTTTTTACTGCTTAAATATTTAAATTAATAACAAATAGAGAAGATTTGTTTTTATACTAAATCTTAGGTGATAAGAGAAGATAGACATTTAAATACCATAAAACACAAAATTGCATCTTCTAGCCACCAATTAGATCTTGCAGTCACAGCAGAGGGGAAAATAAGGGACTATATTACAATCTGTAAAATATAATCCTCAACAAATTTTGATTTATTTGAGTTCCAAAGTGACTTTGGCGAACTTAACTGTGGGCACGTTCCACAGCTGTCTGCACCACCATTCTTTTTTAAAATGTTGCAGAAATGAATGTGTTTCAGCTCCTCTGACTTAGTCAGATATATTACTTTAAACCATCAGTGAATGTCTGGTTGTACTGAGACCCCAAACCACTGTATGCGGCAACTGAGGTTTAGGCACATTTTTTTAAATCCACTGTGTGGTGAGAGTGGTAGCTTCTGGCAGAAGAGCAGTAATAAACACCTTTGAGAGGAGACTTTACTCTTAAACTGTTAAAGCTGTTTGTTGCAAGGGCTCTGGCCAGAGCCAATTCTCCTTCCTAAAAAGCTCTGTAAGAAATAAATATGCTAGGAGGTTCAAAGGTTCATAAAACTGCTATATAGGAGACCTTTAAATAATACATTGATGCTATTGTTTAAATAGAGAGGTAATGGCTTGTGCAGTCTAAATTTCTGGGTTACAAAAGTGCAGAAGCAATTTTAAAGCTGGGGAAAAATACAAACCTAATAGCCTTTATTTCGTGATGGGCTAGAAGCTCCCTCAAACCTCTATGAGATTTTCAAAGGTAGTTGGAGTAAATGAGCTTCATGTGAGCACACTGTTTATCCAAGCATCTTGCATTGTTTTGAGCAACACCAATCACTCGGCAAGCACTAAACGGAGAGGGGCTCCAGTCGTACAAAGTCCTGCAACTTACTTGGTTGACCTTGTTTGTTTAGCTCTATCCTGAGGAAGCTTAAGAATGTGCTTCACTTAGTGTATTTTGTTAGTTCTGTTGCAACATTTTGATGTTGCATCTTTGGTAAATCTGTTATCCAAAAATGGTTCCATTTGTCTCAAAATTCAGGATGTATGAGAGGTATTTGCAAGACGGAAAACCATGACTGCAATGTTTTCTGTATTTCTTACAATGTGTGAATGGCAACTAGCAAAATATACCTTTGCAATCAGATTTGGACACATGTCTAGAAAACAGCCTTGAACAGAAAGTTGAACTTATGTATGAACTTTCAACATGCTCATTTCATTCAGACTATTTTTTCTAAACTAGATGAATAGTTTCTTTATATACTTTATGCATTGCCTAGCTCAGGTCTCTTATATTAGGACTTTGTAGAGCTACTGTGACTCAGGTTTTGAGTAGGTGTAGCACGCTCAGACAAATTATAAACTAAAATTACAGTTAATTTTAATTTAAATACAAGAGATTTTTCATTTGTTTGTTTCAAGTAAAATGTCTTGTGACCTGATTTTATGTTGATACACAAAGATGACACAATCTTTTGGAATATGAGCTTCTTCCCTTGGTTTTGGACACAGAATTTAATAAAGCCTTTTGAAAATAGATTTTATGATGGAGACTTCATGTAAAAAGATAAAACACATTAAGATTTTTCTCTCTACCCTGCCTGTTCCTGTCGCAGCCTGTTCACAGGAGTATACGGTGCTTTCCAGATAGGCAATCGGAGTACACTAAGAGCTTTAAGGAGGATTGGAGCAGGTACCTCAAAATGGGAAGTAAATAGCAATTGCTTAGTATAGTCCAGCTCCTTGCAAATAGCTTGTTTTGGCTCCCATTGACTTGCTTCGAGAGACGGCGGGACATTAGAATAAGGAGCTTAGAATACCAGTCACAGAAGCAGTATGTTATGATCCTAATTATCAGTATAATATTTCCAAGTCTGACATAATACTTTCTTATCAGGAGAAGGAACTTGTAGCTCTTTTCAGCTGATGACCCTTTTCTTTAGCTTTCAGATCTGTATTTTGAGAACTAAAAGGAAGGAATTCCAGCTTTCCAGATACACTGTTGATGAATTTCATAAATAGCTCTCATTTTTCAAAACAAACTGGAATGCTATTGTTGCTGTTGCAAGTATCTATTATGTATGTTTTAATAAACAGATTAAAGGACTCTTAGTAATAAGACATCATTTTTAAAGCATAACTACATTTAATGCACATATATTATTGCTGTTATTTTGGGGTTTTTTGGTCTGGGTAGTTTTGTTTGAAAGGCAACAGCACTCAAGGTTTTTTTTTTTTTCTTTTTCAATTAATTCATTTAAAAAAAATGTTTTGCCTCTGCCATAATTTTTCTAGAATTTAAAGAGGAGTACAGCAGGGCTTTCTCTGGTTTTGGGGAGGTTGCCTTTGTAACTGGCCTTTCTTGAACAGTAGAGCAGAATTATGTAATGTTACTAAGCACAGCCTTATGACGTGGATTTTAATCTTTTTTTTTTTTTTTCCTAGATTTTGCAACTGTTTGCCAAGAATGCACGGATTTCCATTTTCCTGGAATTCAAGAACAGCTTGAAATTGTCCAGAAGGTTGTACTTAAAGCCAGAGCACAGCGTAGCAGTAAGTCAAAAAGACATCAAGGTCAGTGACAACCAAAATTACTTTCCTTGAAATAGAATAGTGGTCAGCTGAATGTTTATGGTTACGGGCAAGTTAATTTCACTCTTCTTCAATTACCTGATCTATAAAATGGAATGTTCTAGTTTATCAATAAACTGTGAGAAGTCTGCATGAAATTGTCTCTTCGCAGGCAGCATGTTCACATGATGTCTTTGCTGCCATAACAGACATACCTTACAAAAAAAAAAAAAAAAAGTATAAGTCCTTAGGTTCTGATCATACTTCAACAGCATGGCAAGTGTGTGGGGCCGTTGTGCTTTCCTCTGCAGTGTGAACTGCCTGTAGCAACACAGACTTTATCTGACTTGACTTTTTAATTTCTATTTAAATGTAAGGCTTTAAAAATTGCAGAAGAGGAGTTACGACTTTTTCCCTTCCTTATAAGTGAACACTAAAAACTGAATAATAAATGGACTAAATGTATATACTTTTTAGTGCTGACCAAATCCTTGTGAATGGTTTACTTTGCAGTTATACGTACAAATGGCTGTCAAATTTTCTGACCACATGGTGTTAAGGCAGTACTTGTACATTATGAAACTCTGTTTCTCTTGCAGAGAACTAGTTATATGGTTTAAATATATCAGTAACATGAATGGATTCATAAGGGTACATAGAGAAACGAATTTTCTTAGGAACCTGCATATCACTGTAGTCTTGAGAAAAATACTGAAAGCTGTTTTTATACTGCTGATTTATGTAAATCTCTTTAAAATTTTTCTTGTAATACTAGGAACAAATTTGTTTTAAATAGTTTCTTAAAAAGCAATAGCAAGGTACTATGTAGTTGTGGGGGCAATTTGGGAAGTTTAGTATTATGTTTGAAAATACTGTATTTTCTTTTGTCCAAATGAAGAGGTATCGTAGGATGGTTAAATAAGAAAGCTAATGATTTGAGATAGACACTGAACTGAATCCTATTGAAGACAGCAAAAACGCTTCCTGTCCATCCCCCTGCCTTTTGTGGACTTTATGGTAACTTTATAGTAAAAATTCAAGCCAGATATTATCTCAGTACATCAAACTTCCATGCCAAAGTGTAATTAATAGACGATATGTGTAATATTTGTGCTATGTACTTATATACAGAAAACAAAAGTAGTGGAAACGAAGATAAATTAAAGAATATTGAACGAAACCAGTCAAATATTTTGCCGGGTGAGTTCTGTTGCATTTTCCCCCTCTTCTTAAAGCAAATTGTGTTTTATAGATGCACATTTTTAGCTCTAGAGTCAGAACATAAATTATAAACTAAACCCGAGCTGACCTCAATCAGAGGAGAAGGATGTTCTTGTGGCTAAGGCAGAGAACTGGGTGTCAGGACATCTGGTTTCTATTCCCAGCTTTGTCACTGCATCATGTGACTTGGGGCAAATCACTTACCTTCTCTATACCTAAAATTTCTTTTCAGAATTTGAGGGTGAAAAAGAGATCTCTGAGCATCTTGGGAAAAGGTGAAACTTAAATATTAGCAACTAATTTTATTTTTGAAAATAATTATGTCATTGTTGTGATACAGTAAAGCATTTTAGAATGTATTTTTTAGCTTTGAGAATGTACAAATCCATTCCTCTCAAAGAGGAAGTATCTTCTGTATATATTGTGATTTTTAGTAAGGAAAGCTTCTGTGGAATTTGAAGATGAATAAACAATTGGACGGGTAACGAGTTCAATTCATACAACCCATGGCTGAATAAGAGGGCATCTTAAAATTGCTTTCATGATTGTCTTAGATCTTGTTAGTATAAGTGGATTATAAATCAGCTTGGGTCCTTACCAGATAAATTCGGGTGAATCTTGCTGCAGTGTCTTGTGTATTATTACTCTCAGACGGTCATTGCTGGGGATTACTATCTCCTTAGCAGTCATCAGAAAGGAGTACATACCCGTTCTTCTGCTGTCCCAGTACAAAGGTAGTATCTTAACTTAAATGACCAGTGAAAATAGGTTTGAAGAAAGATGTTTATCTGTTGACTGAAACAGTGGGGGTGCCTGCTTTTCTGTTGACTCTAGTATAGACTTTTGATCTCCAGCAGAAAGGTAAGATGGAGAGACCTGCATTTCACTGCCCCTTACTTTTTCTCTACCTTTGATAAATGAATACCAAGTCTAAAAATACCCCCAACAAGATGTCTTGGTAACTTTTTGAAAACAACTCTGTAACTGATCTTCCCATTATTATGAATTATTTTAAATTCTAATGATCATTGATACTTTTGTCTTCCAGTACATATCTCAGTTGTTACATAACCCCCTATCTTTTTCCACAAACTTCTTGCATCCTTTATTTTAACCCATCCATTTTTGGTATTTCCGCCTCCCACATCTGTCTGCAATTCAGTGCTTACATTATATATTTTGAGTATTACAGCTCCTCTGTGTTTGTTTTTCTGTTTCGTGCTATATATAGATCATATCCGCCTGTACTGGCACTGTTACGTCTTATTACACCAGGTGTCCTTGATGCCAGTGAAACCCATCAAAGTAGGGAAGTGAGTGTAGGATGAATGTAAAACAATGATATTCCAAGAGATTTCAGATCGGTTGGTTTCTAACTTTTTTTTTTAAAATCTCCTTTTGTATATGTTTTGATCTCTGTTGTATATTTGTATTTGCCTTTTGTCTTAACTGACCCTACCCTTACATTGCCTAACAATTGTATTTCAGTACAGATCACTACCATGATATCTTGCCTTCTTGGTTTGTATTATTCTGTAGGAGAATTCTACATCACACGCCATTCAAATCTTTCTGAAATTCATGTTGCTTTTCACCTCTGTGTGGACGATAACGTAAGATCCGGTAACATAACTGCTCGGGATCCTGCAATCATGGGACTCAGAAACATTCTCAAAGTTTGCTGCACACACGACATTACTACTATTAGTATTCCTCTCCTATTAGTGCACGATATGTCAGAAGTAAGTAAATGTAAAGATTTGGTTTGGTTTTATCTTCTAGGATGCAACAAAATTGATTTTTGCAAAGGGTATGTTTCATGCTGGTTTAAGCCAAATGGGACAGTTGATCCTAGTCACATGCTCCTCCCACATCATTGGACTGGCTCCTGCCACACCGTTGTGCTGTCACTCTTATCTATATAGTGACCCAAATTAAGGAACTGAACCAGTTAAAATCGTTTCAGCCAGCTGAATCACTTTGGTTTCTTATTCCCAACTCGCGTTTTGGACACTTTACTTCCTTGATTCAGCTCATTGCACAGTTGCACAAGTATTAATGAAAGATGGGACTACGTGCCTGGAAGTCTTCTGGCAACAGCTCTTGCTTAGAAACTATACCTTCAGAGTCACTGATGTGATAGTGATACCAGATCCCCAGTTTTAATTGTTGCTGGTTAGAAAACCTTAAAACTAAGTTTTATGAGCAGCAGAAGTAGCAAAGCTTGCCTTAGAGTTCTGTATCCCTAAACGCCACCTCAGCCCTACACAGCAGCAACCAAATTTCACCTTTGCTCTGAACTGTCTCCTTCTTCACTGCCTAAACACTTGCATCCTTAATTTCTGTTCCTGGTTCCTCTCTAAGTCACCCAAATACCAGCTGGGCAAGAAGCAGCATATTGCTGAGGCTCTTTGTAGATACAAGTGTGCTTACTTACTGTGCTGAGCTTTTGTATTCTCTTCTTCAGTGGAACACTAATGTGTAGAGCTTGTCTCTTACTTAACTAACTTTTCACAGTGCATAGTAATTTAATGCCATTGACAACCTCTTTCCTCTGTCACATCTGGCTCACAAGATACTAGCAGAGAAGAAAAGGGAGTAGGGAGGCGGGGAGAAAACCAATGGACAGGCAGTACAGCCGTATGCCTCACCTCCTTAGGAGGTAAAAAGTCTGTAAAATTAAAGGAACGAGAAAAATAAGATAGTGCTGCCATTACTGATACCCTTGCACAGATAATTATACTCTGTTGTGGATTTTTTAAAATAACCCTTTGATTTTTCACTTGTAAATTTCAATACTGCCTTTTCTTCTTTGAAAGTGCCTGACTCACAGCAAGATAAAGGCTCACCAGTGGATTACCTTTAACAGTGACTTTTTTTTTTAACAGAATTTGTTTGGAACACAGTAGAAGTGACATCCTTTTGCAAGATCAGGGTCTATTATTGTGAAAGTGCAAGCAATGCAAAAGTTAAAAATGACCAGTAATGAAGCTTCTAAAGGATATACTTCCATACATAAAAGTAGACTTTTAGGAACAGATGATATTATTTCTGAAATTTTTCATCTCTGATATTAAGACCTTTTTTGGGGCATAAATGCAAGTAATCACCTTGCAAGACAGAAGCTTGGGTTACTCATGGGACCCAGTTACTGTATCTCATAAATTTATTGACCTTTTTTCTTAATCAAGTTGCCATCTGACTATAGTTTTTTTCTTTTTTTTCTTTAAACCTTGTTAGTTTTAGCTTTCATTTGCATATCTGTATTTTAAAATACAAATAAAGCACAAGACCAAGGGTTCAACGTACTTTGAGAGTGTGTTGTTGCTTGGATGTATGAAACTGAAGAATTATCATCTTGTCTAGTGCTGGATTCTTAAAGGGTCCTGGTAAAACAATTTACCTTTTATATTAAGTTTTCAGTCTTTGCAGAGGAAGCAGAAGGTGACCTGTATGATAAGTGTATGTTTAGCCAAAATGACATTGTGTGAATTGCATTAGCAGCATTGCTCATTACAGTGCTTTGCAGCTGGCTGACCTAATTTGAAACACCCACATATGTAACTTGTTGTTGAGGGAAAAGTGAATAACAACAGATTTCTGAAAGTTAACCTGAACTTGGTGCCTTCAGCAGCCCCAGTTTTGAATCTGTATTTACCACCTACATAAAAACATTTTTGTAAAGTGGTTAACCAGGAGCACAGCTGCAGAGATGTTTGCATGCTTCACTGTGACAGGCATTCATCATGAGTTTTCTCTGTGCTTTTCCCAAAGGTTTTCTTCTTTTATGGATGGGAGAGTGATGTTTATAACCTCACAGAAGTAATGAGTGTATCGATCTCAATGAAGCCATTGCATTTCATTATTATTGGACCTTCATATAAACTGGGGTTTTTTTCTATGAAAAAAAAAAATTAGGAATTCTGTTTTCCTTAGTTTTTCTTATGACAAGAACAACAAAAACAGATTTCTGTGTTCTGATCATTAAGTTAAATGAAGGAGAGAAGCTGGGTTTGATACTTGAGAACGGCAAAAGCAGACAAGTTCAAATTCAGGACAACTGAGGTGTTACTATCTGATCACTGTTCTGAATCTAATATAAACTGATATGTAAACTGGGGAATGAAATGGCTCTAATAGCATGGAATTGCTAAAAATGGCACACTTCCTTGGTAGTTTCAGTATAGGAGCCATTGCTGCTGTCCACACAGCAACACTGAGAAAAATGTGACTTCTCAGGGATCTCAGGCAGCCATCTCTTTACTATAAGTTAAGACAAAAATGTTTCAACAGAAAGTAGAAATGAAGGGAGTATAAGCTGTGTAACAAATGTTTATGAACATAGTTTATGTATATAGAGAGATTATTGATGGGTGTGTTAACCTCAAATATTTCTCGTCTGAGTTTTCTGCCTTTAAATGTGTAGTTGCTCATATAGTGTTTAGGATTTGCATAGATATACTTTGAGTAAACATCTTGCTAATTCTTAACTTACTAGAATTAAACATTGAAATTTGGTTTGAAATCTTTGTCGCACAAGACATTTATGGACTTCAGTGTTTTCATTACCTGGTTATGACATTGTTCTGCAAAGGCACAAGCCCTTAGCTTTATAAAAGCGGCAGCCCCATGTAGTAAGTCTGTCACAAATTTGTTTGAATAAAAAGGTTTGCAGCATATCTTTCTAATCAGTGGGGTTGGCCTCTTTTTTTTTTTAATTTTTTTTTTTTTAATAAGCAGAAAAAATCTTAATTTGACAACAGATCATTGCATCCTAAAAAGGAGTGAGGTGTAGTCTCTGCTAGTGAACAAAACCAAAAGTCCCAGGTGTTTTTTTTACTTGCTTGAATGCTATTAACCAAAACTTACTATAGGAGATGGGGTATTTGCCTTTTTTTCCTATCCCCTGCACTGTATTTTGAATTGGTACTTAGCTGATCCTTCATCATTTCCACAACTGTTACTTAGTTTGCATATAGAGAAAAAATCCTGATAACATGGCAAAATCATGAGAACTTACATTTTTAAAGATGGATTAGAATTGAATTACTACTGCGTCATTTTCAGTTCTTGTGGCTTGCACGCAGTGACATTCTGGATTCAACCTGTTATTTCCCTGAGTGCCCACAAGATTTAACATCTATGTTCCTCTGAAATAGTCCAAGGAATAGTGTCATATCCTGCTGTTTCTATCAGTCCTTTTAAGGCTTAGTTCCCTTTATTGATCATGCAGGGTACTCCTGAGTTGCCTACAGAGCAACAGGACCTTTCTTTTTAGACACTTGTTTTTACCTAAGCCAAAACAGTGATCAAAACTAACAATAAACGCCTACATTACTTGTGACAGAAAGCATACATGGGCAGATGTATTATAACAAAGACCAAGTATTTCTTCCAGAAAGCTTAGAAATGAAAAAAAAATTTTAAAAAATGTTGTCCAGCATTGTTCTGATTAATGTGTTGTATGCCCTAAAAGCAGCATCTATTGATGCAGTGTTTTACATCATGAAAGAAAGTTTTCTGAAAAGCCATTTCTAGCTTATGCTGTTTTTGACATATTACGTATTTTGGGGATGGCAGGAGATACTCCCACCTAAGTAGGAACTTTGGCTTTCCGTTGTTTAATGCAGCCACGTTCAGTATACTGTTGCAGTGTTATCAGTTGGCATTCTTGGATAATGTTGCTTCTCAAATAACTTTTTTTTTTAAATCCTGAAATTCAGCTCTTTTAAAATGACAGATTGCACAGTTTTTGGCATTGCAAAATAAAGGCTGGCTTTACTGAATAGAAAATTATGTAAAGCATAAATTTGAAAAGGTACATAGAACGATAAATTTATTTCCACATCTATATTCCTGTATTCAGACTAGAAAGTGCTCATTTTGATGTTGAAGAGTACTTCAAAATAAACAGGTACGATTTTCTTTTTGAGAAGTGTTTACAGTGACAGTCTCTCTGTCTCTGACTAGGAATATTCATCTTGATATAATTAACTTTGTAGCATACAGCCAAAGAATGTTTAATGTACTAAAGCATTTAAACTGTTACTTAAATTACTTAGACCAGTGCTTGTAACTATGTCTTAAGATATCTAAAAGCAGTGTGGTTTTCATTTCCCATCTTGGTATTTAACTTTAGGTAAGAATTTGCTATCTGTTTATATCTGAAACTCCTCTATCAGATGAAGATGGATTTTGTTTGTTTTAACTCCTAACATAAATGCATCTTTAGGGGAGAAGGGCTTCTTCCGGTTCCAGTATTAGAGAGAAGGTTTTTACTGAAGGCGGGTATGCTGATAAACCTTAACCAGAATCATCAAGAATAGCTAGGAATCATCAGTTACAGCTGTTAACATGTGATCAGGAGCCTGTCTTTGGCTAGCTGAGGCACAAATCTGACAGTTATCCATTGGATATTATACATTTTTCTGAAGCTCCACAGGGGAATTAAATAGACCCATTTCCAATTACTTTAATAGGATTATCAACAATATTTTTATTCCACATCTCAGCTTAAAAATGTATAGATTGTTCTAGGCTCTCCTACTGATAAGCAGTTGCAGTGCTTTTATGGTCACCTATAATGTATATACCATCTGCCCAGAATACTCTGGAAAACTGAATCCCTCTTCATGGCCTGTAATGCTGCTTGAATACTTGATGGGAAAATGTGGTTCTATGGCAAAAATGTATTATTTTTAATAACTTCCCTGCTACTCTTGCTGGTTAGACCCATTGGGCATTGAGGCTTTTCATTTATTAATTTTAGGAAATGACCATTCCATGGTGCTTGAAGAGGGCAGAGCTTGTGTTCAAGTGTGTCAAAGGTATGTTAGTGAATGCTTCAGCTGGTTTTTTTCTGTGTTGCATTTGGTGACATCCAGCCTTAGCTCAAGCTGTATATTTTCCCCAAAAAAGGTGTTTTTCAATAATTTATCGTTTGTTGAAACATACACTTATATTGTCTCTTTAAACTTATTAACTGTCTTACCAGACACTTAAAATGGAGACTAAAAATGTTTCGAAAGTATCTGTACAACTTAAACATAGACAGTAGAAGAAAAAGCCCTTACTGCTGCTTTGAGCAATCTCTGAAGGAGGGCAAGAGCTGATGGTTCTCTACAGTATAATTTCCAGTGTCTTTTGTATTTTGATTGCCTCAAACAATGAGGACTCCCCACATTTTTCCAAGACTAGTTTATATGCTAATTCATCTCTTTGCTGGAAAGTCCTCATAACTCAACTTGGTTTTCTGTCTTGCCAAGTGGTATTATTTACTGCATTCTTGTGTGTTGCACTTAAATACTTGAACCAGTCATTTAGAGAACTTAAAACATTAGTAGTGTTAATGTTCTTTCTACCACCTACTCAAGGGACCTCTTCCTATTGTGACCTTTAGTAATTCACAATGGAATATCATCCACATAGCCACTTTCATTAAACAAGTATTTTTCTGAGTATCTTTATTTGCCACTGGTGTGTTCCTGTAAGCCTTGTAGTTCATATGTAAAGAAATGCTAGCATAAAAATGCCATTATCGTAACTTGTGCAATAAAGGAGTGCTAAGCTTTTTCCATATAAGTAAGTCCAGGTAGTTTCTGTTGCTGCCAGATTGCTAGTGTACTTTTGGCAACAGGCTTGTACTCATTCATGTGGATGTGATCACATCAGAGCTAAAGGAAGGAGCTATTTCTCAATGAATGCAAGCCATTGAAAGAACTCATAACGTGCACATTTGGGGAAACCTCTCACTTCTGCTAGCTAGCACTCTGCTGTACAGTAGGACCGGTTATTCTGCTTTTCAAGGGTATATTGATTTTCTTCATAACTACTCATTAGATTTTCCAGTTAAAGCAGATTTCAGTCAGGAGATTGGCCAAGTCTGATTTAAATGCGATTAATGACATCCCTAGTTAAGGCAGTTAAAATCCTGACTGTATGTGAAAACTCCCTCACTGCTTGGTAACGGTGTAATTGACGGGGAAGATTGCACAGGTAATGCATATAGTATGAATGCTCTTTTTTAGGTTTCATGATGGAAATGGCCTCGTGGGATGGAGGAATTTCTCGGACTGTACAATTCTTGGTACCACAGGTAGGTTAAACCAGGTTCATATCTAACGTAGGAGACTATTGGAACAAGAAGTTAAGTGTCAGCAGATCTAGTTTTGATTTCTTTGCTATGCCCTGCTCTTTCTGTGTGAGCTTAAATTAGTCACTGTGGTTTTAGTGCCTTGCTTATAAAACAGGAATAAGAGGGGTTTATATTTTTTGATATCTTGTAGTATCTTCGGAGGATGCTAAAATTTCAAACTGGGAAGTTCACCTTTACAAACGGTGAATGTATCACCATTGAAAAAGATTTTTTGCTATTATTTACTCTGAAGAGATGGGCTAACCTTGCATTACATAAGTTTAGGTGTTTATTAGTCATATTGCCTAACAATATGCACTGACTTCAGTCATGCTTCCACAAAGTCATTAATGACTCTAGGTATTTGATGTTAATTAAGATTCTGAAAAGATTTAATTTGGAGTTCTAGCTGATCTTCAGAAACAGGAAGTTTTCCAAAGGTAGCCAGCACTAAGTTTCATTTGTTCTAAAAGACAGTACTGGAAGTAATATAAAAATCAGAGTTATATTAGGAAAGAAACAACATGTATTTCTTGACAAAGTAGTAAACGGCTGAGCAAGGAGGAAGCCAAGAATAAACTAAGTAGTGAAGTTGAATGTAATTCTGGAATTCAGAGAGCAGGAGTCCTGTAGATAACAAACAGCACTGTCCTGCTTATGCTAGGCAGAAATAATCAGTTACTGGAACAAGAAATCTACTGGAAACAGGTATGTCACATAAATATACAAACAGTATTTTTAGGTCAGTCTTTTCCTTTTGATTGAAATAAATAAAATTATAACACATAGTTTGAAAATGATCTTCATGGTCTTCTGAAAAACAGCAATTCTCTTAAATGTCAAGAAACAAAGTTGAGAGAGACGTAATTCTTCCAAACTACGGCAAAAAGCCAAAGCTTACTGGTGTATTTTTTTAATTATTATTTTTTTCCAGACAATTTCTGAGACAATGTTTTACCAACTGAGCAATATGCTTCCGCAAATCTTCAGAGTATCCTCTACATTGACTCTGACCTCTAAGCACTGAATTTTGTGCAGCAGTAAGATGTATCCTGTTGACAAAGGATGAGATTACAGAGATTCTGGAATGGAATGTCTCTTTCTGAGGGATAATGACCCTGAAGTGGTATTTGTTGCAATTTCAAGAATCATGTTATAATAAAAGAGAAACGCTGCCTGTACTTGGGTGTTAGCAGTTGATTTTTGCCTCTTGCTTTCTGTTTCAGCAGATTATTAATGTTGAATTCCTCACCTTTATCTGAAAGATGTTCAATGTGACTTATTGTACGTAATCTGCAGAAATGTAAGTGATTCTTATACTTCAGTAGTAGGAATAATTGCTTATGGTAGGAATAGGATCTTCTGGGTGGGCTTCAGGTTGTTGAGTTTTAAAAATATTTTCTGAATTTGCTCAGTGATACTTAAAAAAGTATAAACAAGCAAGGTGTCTCCTTAGAATAACTTCGATGTAATTAGTCACAGTTGTCTTTCCAGGGTCACAGTGACCACAAAATAAAATGTATTACTGCCTCATTTTACCATTTTACTGTTACAAAATGAAAGACATGAAACAAGCATTTAACCTGCTGCATTCTGTAAATCACAGAAGTGTTTTTTAAAAAAAAAAAAACAACTAAATAATATACCTGTGACAATAATGAGAATTTTTAATTATTATTTCTTCCTTTTTTTTTTTAACATGTTAACTTTTTGCTTTATTTCAAGATTTCACGTTGACAAGTCTGTCACATGAACAACTTAATAGGAATACTGTAGTGTTCTGGACTCTGTTGTATATTTTGCTGCTTATTAATTATTAATGTTTTGTGACTAAACAATCTAATCAGAAATGCTGGGGAGAAAGCTCAAGATGCAGCTATGAAATTTCTTGGGATAAACTTGAATCCAGTCAAAAAAAAAAAAAGCCCACCCCCCCCGCCTCCCCATGATGGGGGTCAGAGGGCAGGTTGGGAACTGCTTTTCCCCTGTCTTGGACAGTCAAGCTTTTTGAACTCGGCTGCGGACCCAGGCGGGTGGAAGCAATCCGTCAATGCAGGGACCGGCCACAGGGAGAGTCCTGTCTGAAACTGGGGTTACCGGAAGGGTCAGGCTCACAGCGAAGTAGCTGGGGTGGTGAAGGTCCCCATGATGGGGGTCAGAGGGGAGGTTGGGAACTGCTTTTCCCCTGTCTTGGACAGTCAAGCTTTTTGAACTCGGCTGCGGACCCAGGCGGGTGGAAGCAATCCGTCAATGCAGGGACCGGCCACAGGGAGAGTCCTGTCTGAAACTGGGGTTACCGGAAGGGTCAGGCTCACAGCGAAGTAGCTGGGGTGGTGAAGGTCCCAGGTAGCTTTCTGAAGTCCACAGTTCTGTTATGTAGGAAGCACGGGGCAGAGCTGGCTTTGAATCTGAAATCTCTTTCTATGTATTGCTGAAATTCTGCACTTGAAACCTGGAGATCCTGGAAGCCAACTAAAAATCAAATTATTTTCTATTTCCAGTGTGATTTTTTTAAAAAATTATTATTATTATCATTTAGTTTGATAAATGTAAAGATTGCAAAGCTCTGTTCTGGGGAAACTGCATAATCTAAAATCCTTAGGAGAATCAAAGGAATATTAATCAGTTCATGACTGATGTATTTAACGCCACGTAATTAACGAAGTCTTAGTTTAGTATTTTTATTGTCCTGCACGCTGTAAGTGACCCAGCAAACATCTATTACTGAACTGTCAAATGCTTTCTTTTCCTCTGCCAGCAACTTCTAAAGAAGAATCATGCAAGTAATGTGACCTGATTTGGTGTTCTAGAAAAGAAGGATGTAAATTCATCTAGAAGGAGCTGGATTAATCCTGTTAGAGCTCGTTTTACATTGCTGGCCTTAAGCTGAAATCAAACTCTGGTCCCAGAAAAGCAAGTGCTCTAACCACTATTCTGTTCGTGAAAGGTGTGGTAGCAGAAGTATTCCTTTTTATAAGTTGTGAGACTTATCTGTGTTGTGAAAAAGGTGTGTGTTACATACTTGGTACTTTTATTTTCTTGGGTTTTTTCTTCAGTCAGTACATCTGTCAACAGGTAACTGGTGGAACACCAAAAATTCTTGAGCAAATAATCTTGCGTATACTTTTAGACTCTGTTAATAAAAATTACACCTGAATTCTCCTGTTATTTTGCCAAAACACAAAGACACCATTTAATTTAATACCACTTGCGTAAAACTGCCAGTAATTTCTAAGAAAATAATTAAGCTTTTTGCCTTTCATTTTTTGAATCTGTGTGTGTTCAGTCCTCAGCGGATTGCATATGAAATTTTCAGCATTCGTCTTTGATACTAAAAAAACCAAAAAAGCTCTAGTGGTGAGGTTTTGGAAAATCAAAGTGGTAGGAATGGCACGGGAAAACTATTAGTTCTGCTTAAAATTGTACTGAAGCCTGGCCCTTGTAAATGCTAAATTGGCCAAACTGCCAGACTGAATTTTTGTCTAAAGGACTCTTGATACAACATCTATTATTCCCGTTTTTCATATCTCTTCCCAAGGAAATAGTGCTAACAGCAGATCTTTAGTTGTCTTTGTAGAAAAACAGAATGTAGAGATGGGATGACCTAAACTGTACTTTCTGTTTGATCTGTACCTGGCAACTGTACAGAAGGATAGCACACAGACTGCAATTTATGGAGTAAAGCCACGTGAGAAATCCTGTTTGGGTCATGAGAAGCTATTTGAGATTAAGAGGAAAATGACTCAATAGGCATGAGGTTTTCTATTTGTATATGCAGTGCAGCATTCCTTGGAAGGATGACAGTATTTAATGCCTTGAAAATGTGTAAAATTGTACGTGTAGCTTGTATTGAATAAATTGTTCTTGCCACTAAGAGAAATGAGGAACGAATGCCATTGTTTAGCTTTTTTTAACCTGCTCATGGTGACCACTATAAACTGCAGGTGCCCTTTACAGAATCTGAACTGAGGTTATTACAAGAAAAAAAATGTACAGAGTCTCAATCTGTCAAGGACATAACTAACTGACCCTCAGCCTATTGTCTTCAGCTATATGATCTGTGTCCGTTTGCTTACACGGTGGCTGACAACAAACAGGAGGAGAAGAATACAGAGAGTTGAGAAACAGATTTACAGACCTTGTGCTGACCAGACTGCTTTTACCCTGTTTTAATTCCAGAAATTTCACTGTTAGTAGATGTCACTGCCCGGAGAGGTAAGAATCACATCTGAGGTCTTTCCTTCTGCAATAGTTCACTCTGGATAGCAGAATCTAAGTTAATGACGCAGAGCTGAAAAATGTTATTTTATAAGTTTTCCCATTGTATGAGAGATGAGTGAAGCCACAGAAGGTGATTATGGAGAGGAGATATAATTTAAAGGAGGAAATTATGACTAAGATTACATGTTCTAACCCAGTTCTGTTATTTCTGTGAGCTTAAAAGTTAACCAATTCATTTGATCTGATACCTCATTTTCCCCTCATTAGAGGAAAGTTTAATTTATGCTTTTGTAGTGTTTTGAGCATTAATCTTGCGTGCCACACTTACTCATTTCTTGCCTGTACTATATCCAAAAATACAGTGCTGTTCCCTGGTATTCACACCAGGTCAGAAGTGTAAAGAGATGTCTATCCTCTTCTTCTATCTTTGCCTCATTGAGGTATCAGGACAGACCATCAGTGCTGCACAAACATAAATCTATTCCTTCGTACCATATACTGGATGTGGTAGAAGTCAGCAGCAACCACAGAATTGTGGGCCCATGGGACCATAGAATTAGAAGAATATATTATTATGCGCAAGTACAAACAACCTTATTTCAGGTTGGGTAAGCTCAAGGCCTTGACTTTATGCTATAATAGCGTTTAAACACTAAGTTGTAATCTTACCCCAACATTTAGAAGCAAGTGGAACAAAGCAAACACACATCACAAGGAGCAGGACTCGGAGACCAGCCACGACTCATCAGAAGCAAGACGGTGATGAACTGAGTACCCTTGTAAAATTTGCCACGCTCTAGAGAAAGAAGGGACTACCTCCAGCAAGAGGACAGTGTTCTGTGCATGAAGGTGTCCTTAGAAGAGCAGATTCTGTCCCACTAATGGCTTAAGCTATTTGTTGGCAAAATTACTTTGGAAAGCTGGACTAAACCCAGAAGGCAAAGAAGTCTAGCGCTCACAGACAGGTCAGCAGATGGGATCCATTCATTTGTCATGAACTGTGGTCCCCCTTGTGCTTGCTGGCAAAACAGGCACCAGGCAGCTCCGACAGGCCCAACGGGGTGATTAATGCCCCTCGATCGGCAACGTCTGTAGCTTGATAGCAAATGTGGCCTTAAGTCCCCTCAGAGAAGCAAATTGAACTGTGGCGTTGAACGTGCTGAGCAAGTGCTCAAACGGGTGGGCTTTTATATTAATTGGGGACCTCCATACGGTGGGAGCGTTTGCCAGGATGCACATTGCAGACTCGGCACATCTACCAGAGTATGTATAGTGAAGACAACCTAACTGGTAATCTGAATGAGTGCAGACATAGCCGGTTGCTGATGTGCTTGTTATTCTTGAAATGGAGATGAATTTATGAATGCTCGGAAGCAGAGCATTTAAGTCCTGGGAAAATTTACATGCCCATGCTTCAGTACCACGCACTTCCGTAGATGCGTAATGGCTAAGCACGGGTGGCAGTCTCGCAGCTTCTAAAGTAGGCGTATAAATTACATCTTAATTCCCATTTGGAATGAGCTAACTTCTTTCTTTGCATGTGGTACAGGCTGTCCCGGTGATGTTAGGCTGCAGAAGAAGCCATAAGAAGCCTGTAAAGCTCTTTTTAAGATTAGTTCCTGGAGATTAGGCCAGATTCTGGGTAAAGAAAGGTGGTTCATGGTTCTTTATTTCCATTCCTACATCTGTCAGAATAACCTGCAAAGGGAGAAAAACAGTGTTCACCCTTCATAACAAAGGCTCCAAAAGATAAAAGCCATTGAAACCAGTCAGCGTAGGATGTGAAGTGAGTGTCGCAAGCTCTGCCTTGTTTTATAAACAGCCCCGTACAAAGTGTCATGTCCGAAGTCCGTGGCTGAGGAGGGCCTACCAACAGTATCGTTATAGGCAATGCTGCGTACAGGAGGAGTAGAAGAATACAGCAGGAGTGAC